GGAAATCCAAGCATAACTGCCTAATGCGTGCTTCCTTTAAAGTGCCAACTGAGACATGTCTTTAAATCTGGATCTAAGCCTTCCAAGGCCTAAAATGTTGCCGCTCTTTTCCATGGTTTCCACTGAGCCTGTTCCAGATTTAACAGCTGAAAAGTTTCCTGGTACTCTGCTCCTGACAGGTATTAAGTTTCTAATCCAGAGTTGGTCATTCTGCAAGGGACAACTGACACAGACGCTAAGAGCAGCAAAAAGGCATCAGGTTCGCATTCTTCGGCCTGATACTAGGAGTTATCCATAATAATGCAATGAAAATATTTTACTAGCTGCTGAAACTCAAAAAAAGTGTAGCTTAGAATCAGACACAGCACGGTACTCAGTGGCCAGTATTAGCTTATCTACCACAAAAGCTGAGGGATACAAATTGTCTGCTTAGTTGCACATTATTATCAGTGCTGAGCCTGCAAGTTACGGCGTGGCACAGTGTGGAGGTACGTCAGCTTTCTGGGCAGTAACAGCGTACAAATGCAAGGGAAGGCAGCGCTTCGGCAAAAGGAACGTCAAACACTCTTCCACAGCGAGCTGTCCTGCGTCACATCTTCCACGCGACCTTCTATCAACTGAAGGAGACGGGAGGAGTAGGAAGCGAGCCCAGGTGCTCCAAGGAGGCACAGAAAAGGAGACTTAGCTACCGAATTTGCTTTCTCCTTCAGTAACTATTCCTGTCGTGAAATACAAAGTGTCGTTGACGGCGCAGCGTTCTCGGTGTTACCAGATGAACTGTTATGCTTGCAATTTTTAGTTCTCAGGGCCTGCTCTGTGCGGGATCAAATCCTGTAAGTGCGCAGAATGCCAATGGTAGCAGAGAAATATGGGGAGAACGCAGCATGACAGACATAAAAAGCGGATTGTAACAAATCTCCCAAACGCAGAGCACTCGACTACAGTGATTCAGTTACAGCCACAAAACACTTCACAAAGACACAGAGTATTTAACCTCTTTCTGCAATATGACAATGGCACCTCCCGTTTTTTCAAACAAGCCGAGAATTATGGATGGAAAATACTAAATAACAGTGTTTTCATGGACACAAAAGAAGGAGAATGTCAAACACTCCGAAGTCCAGAAAAACTTCATATATATGTTAATATATACACACACGTAACAATTTCAAGAGAAAATACCACAAAGAATAAACCGATACTAAATAAATCAAGAACACAAACTTGCTTATTTTTATATTATTATAATAAAAACCAATGCTTATTTGCTGGGTAATTCTTGTTTGGGCTCACACTTTAGCAGTAGGAACATCTGCCTCTTTTTGACGGCTGACCAACAAAGTCAGTCATCAGAAACAATGCTTCATGTAACTATTTATGAGTCATGGCAGTCTGAGGCTGTTTTTCAAAGTGTTCTGCCTCAAAACTTTTGACAATGCATTCTGAAGCCACGGTGAACTTTTTAAACACCCTTTTTTTTTTTTTTTCAGAGCTAAAGGTCATTACAGTACCCAAAGCTAGTGGCGACAATCTGCAGACCCCCACTGTGAAGCTTGTTTTCCAGCAGATACTCCCTAGGATTCACTATGAGTCAGGGAAGCAGCTAGGAAGTTCACGCCAACACATCCAGACATCCCAGACAGAGTAGTGTTTCAAGTCTTACTCAACCACACCATTTCCAAGATGAAAGCTAAATTACTTCCTTGCATCCTTTACAATGATAGTGTAAGTGCACGGCCCTTTCTAGGGTGCGGGGAAGCCGAGCCTGAGTCATCTCAGTCCGTCCTAAGAGTGAACGCCACTTCACCTCAAGGGTGGGAGCCGAGCACAAGCCGAGCCGCCGCTTGGCGGGCTGAGAGGCCCCCTGAGCCGGCAGAACTAGCTGAGGGCGGGGGCCGCTCCAGCAGCCCTCTCAGCCTCCTCGGAAGCGGCTCTCGCAGCGCTCTGTGGCGACAGCCCCCGTCAGCTTTCACTCCGCGGCGGGACCTGACAGGAAGGGCCTCCCCGTGACGCGAGAAGCACCCAACGGGCTCCCGAAGACCCCCGGCCGGTCACGGCCCAGCTGCGAGCCGAGCCCTGCCCGGCCCGGCCCCACGCACGGCTCCCCTCAGGGGAAGAAGGAAGCGCGGGAGGCCAAGGCGCGCGGAGCAACGGCCGCCGGGCACGCGCCGGGCTGCCCCACGC